CTCATGCACATTGGTGCAGAAAGGACAATTCAAAACTACTCTGGCTGCTCTATTCTGAGCTATTTGAAGTTTTCCTAGATATTTCTGGGCCTTACTGGACCAAACTACAGGACAATACTGTAAAAGAGTTAAAACAAGACTTTGAACTACATTTTCCATTACAGCAGTTGGACAATATGCAGAACATTTTCTTGATATAACAATTCCCCTGGCCATCATACCGACCAGATGGTCAATCTGATCTGACCAGGACATTAAGCTATCTAATTTGATACCCAGTAGTTTGAATTTGGTGACCTGCTTGGTATCCTCAATGTTTAGATTAAGTGATGTCAAATTTTGCAACATATATCTACTGCAAAATGTCCTGCATTTAGTTTTGGAACTATTTAATACCAGTTTATTATTTTTCACCCAGTCCACTACTGTGTTTAACTGTTGCTGTAGACTCACATTCAGTCCTGCTATTGTTGATGCCGCAATGTACATAGTGACATCATCAGCATACATTATAACACTAGTCTTTTCAACAACATGTGGAAAATCATTTATAAAKATTGAAAATAAAAGTAGACCCAAACAGCTTCCCTGTGGTACACCACATGRTGTTGTTATACTGTTAGAAAAACTGCCATTAAAAAAGACCTGCTGTGTCCTATTGCTGAGATGTGCCAAACTCAAGAGCAAAATRATATAATCGCAAGCTTTSTACTTTCTGAGTTTTAATATGTTTTCATACATTTAGGCTTCCCAGTGGATGGATCACTGTCAGGACTATTTCAGCCAGCTGAGTCTGGACAGCTCAGACGGGAGAGTTTCCCCCTCTGTGGTGCAGATCCTGCAGGATTACTGCGTGGAGGCATCCAAGTTCTCCACKGACAACTTCAGCACGCTCAACAACATGGTCCTGTCCCTGGAGAGTCCTCAGCAGCTGCAGCAGTGGACCTCAGTGTGGCAGCGATGTCAGCAGACCAAACAGCAGCTGGAGGAGACTTTAGCTCGAGCCACGACGTCRCTCCGGAACTCTACCGCCGTCGACGCGGTGGACCCTTTAAAACCTGTAGCGGGTCTCGGTTCTGCTGAGCATCACGGAGCTAACGGATGCATGCGTTTACCCGAGGTCATCACGGCTCTGACCTTTGAGGACAGCACGTCTGCCTCTGCGGGACCTTTCCCGTCCAGCTCRGCGGCGTCACGCTTTTCTTTCCCCCGCGACGGTGAAAACAAGCCGGGCCAGAGCTCGTCCACGTACGACGACACGGACAGCGACTGCACCGTCGACTCCGCCGTCTCCTGCCGCTCCGAGCCCGTCTACTCCAAAACCACGCGGCTCCGTAAGCAGCCCATGAAGAAGATCATGAAGAAGACCATGAGCTTCGAGCTGACCCCGAGGGACGCCGGCCACTCGGACGCCGGCCACGTCCACGGCTACACGGGGGTCTACATCAAGGGCCTGGAGGTGGCCAACAACGTGTCGGCAGAGAAGAAGCTGCAGAGGCCCGACGTGACGAGTCCCGCTTTGGGACGCAGCCGCAGCATGTCCACGCCGTCCAGGACGTATAACAGGAGCAGTGAGGGGGACGGACAGAAACAGAGCAGGTGAGGACGCCAACCGGTCATACCAACAAGAAATACGGTCGACTGGACTGTAAATTATACCATTATAGTCCCAAATGCTCTTAAGCAGAGGTGCCCAAAAATTGTCCCACCAAGCCATTTGACTTGGCCCACCAGCAGTTGCCCTGGGTACTAGGTTGTGTTCTCCTGTTTTATGCAGAAACACATATTTCCACTTAGTCATTCCAACCATTGTCCAACTTTATAAAGAGCTGTAGTGCAGATAGTCCTAACTCCTGGCACTTTCTTTATCTTTGAATTATATTAAATATAAAATACACTATAAGAGACATTGACATTAGATTTAGTCACACATCTAGATTTGCACACTTCAAAAGACCACAAATAC